AGAATATGGATAGTAATAACAGATTTCAATTAAACGCTACTGTGGTGGTGTGCTGTTAAATCAGAAATGACTTATAGTAACCTTAATAATATAATAATTAATAACCTTTCAAGGTAAGTGAGATATTTAAGAAGTGGTTTTATTAGGTCCACTTCACAGTGAATTTCCATGGCTAAGCAGGGATTCAGACCCAGATCTCCTGAGTTCTAGTCCATCACTCTATCTGCACATTCAGTGTGAAATTGAAACTAAACACTATTGTTGTTAAAAAACAACAACAACCCTCTCAATACTTCTAGCCTTTCCTGGATAAATTAACAGAATAATTATAGATGGTTCATTAACAATATTCACAAACACTTTACTATGACATTAAAATAACTCAATAGTGCATACTATATTGATGAACAAAATTTTAGTGACTCTAGAGCACAAGGCACATTCATCTTCCTTGCTAAGTAATTATACACAAAAAACAATGAGATGGTTACACTTTTCTGAAACATGAATGTGACTCTAACTCAAATACTCAATTGCGATTTATTTTAAGAAATAGAGAAAACATCTTCACATGAACACCCAAACTGTAACTGTTAACTTATAGCAGCTAAAAACATTAAAATTAAACAACCATCTTTGAAAGATTTTATGACATTTTATTGTAGAGTGAGATCTGTATCAATAAGATAAATATAGAAACTTTACATAGTTCCAGCAATTTGACTTTCATGCCTTGCCAAGGCACACCAGCCAAATTTATCCCTCCCAAGATTTATAATTTTTTATAGCAAAAGCTTCTAGAACTTTATATTATGTCACTTTATAATCTGTTACAGCGAAAGGCATAGCAGAAAGAAAGAATAGCATTTCAAATCAAAATGTATTCTACTGGCAGCCAGTGATGATGAAAATCAGGGGCTGGTATTTTCAGTACCAAGAAAAGAGAACACTGATCATTCAGACTCTGGGATTCCCTCTGTCATATTCAGACTCAGGAAGGTTCCAAGCAGCTATTCATAAACAGACCATAGGCTCCTGAAAAATCTGGGACAGCTAAGTTCGCAGTACGTGCATATAGAACATTTTCTTAACAGAGCAGCATTTTGATTTAATATCACAAAACTAAATAAGTTTCTGATTTGCTATTTAACTCCTATTTTATCCCAGATCATCCTGCTCACCAAGGCTATGTAATGGACAAAAATTCACTTTCACTATGTTCCCTTTAAGAAGATGAACAAAAATATGTGCAAGAAAAATTCCTCTTCAGGATTTTAAAACATCCACTCACCCACATTCCCCCTCCCACCCATCACCACACATCTCCAATTTAATCTTGGAGATCATTCAAAGCTTTCAGCTTCATTTCCCAATATACTGTTCACTTCTCAAAAGCCACAATTTAAAAGGAATATATACACCTTTAATATTAGAATAGGGGGAAAATAAACCTCTAATGTCTATGTTACATGGCTTAGCTATGCTATAGAAAAATCTTTCAAAACAAATGCAAGGCTGACATCAAAAGCCAGTATCGCCAGTCTAATGTCAAGGCTTCACCACCTTTGGTGTTCACCCACACCAAACCCTATCTAAAGCACACACACACCAGCCCACAAATCTTCCTTCTGCTGTGTGTCCTCCTCCTCTTCCACCTATCCAAAAGCAGAAAAGCATGTGGTAATTTATACCATCTCTCACCTGGGCCTGTGTTGTCCAAAAAAAGTAGGCAAGCAGACAGAAGTAGCTGCTCCTGGATTGGGTTAGTGATAGTGCATGAGAGAGACAGTCCTCAAAGAGCAACCAGAAGCTCTTCTCCCTCACCCAATTGGCAGTGAAGGGCTGGATCCACTGGGCCTATGCTGCTGATAAGATAGCACAAGGGAAATAGTACTAGATGTTCCTTACTGCCGCTTTTGTTCTCATGCACCCGCTCACATGAGCAACAGTGGCAAGAAACAGCCACTGTCTCCAACTCACCTGCTACCTCTGAACAGTGCCGTGTGCCCAATCCAATGTACTAGGCTGTTCAGAGAGAAGACAAATGGAGAGGAAGCAACTCCTTGCAACCTTCTCCGCTACTCTTCACCCTCTGGGATGAGCAACAGTCACAGATCCTTTGCAAGGAGCAGCAATTACAGCCTCAGCTGACTCGCTGTCTCCCCCTGGACGGCCAAGCTAAACGGGCCCAATGCTCACTGCCGCACCAGTGTGGAGGCGTTGGTAGCTTTTTCTGCCTGTTCCGTTGCCCACATGAATGGAGGTGAGATGGAGGTGGCTGTTCGCTCTTTTATTCTGGGGCACCACAGCTAAGAAAACTGGGCCCGCTGAGGGAAAAAACGAGCAGCCCTATCGAGGAGTTTTTTTGGGGGGGGGGCCGCAGGGTACATCCACACCGGCTGGAAACAGCTTTGTTTCTATGACGCTCCATGCACATACACGCAGGCATAATCTCCTACTGGGCTGATGGATCAGAACAGTAAGAAAATAAGATTTGGCAAAAGAACCTACTATTTAAAATGGCCCAGAATCAAGGAATTCGCCCCTTTAAAAAAAACACACGAAGGCCTCTAAAGAGAGAGAAAGGAACCATGCCGTTTCCCTGCCCACAGCTCGGCTGGGCATCGACTCTTCCCAAGCACCTTTGCACCTGGATCTCCCTTCGCGCCCCAGGCAAACCCGGCATCTCAGAAAGAAGCCGGGTTGGCGGCGCTCAGGCTCCCCGGGCAACGGCGGCGGCGGCGAAGACGAGGCGAGCTAAGAAGGACGAAGCCGTAGAAGCAGCCCTAGCGGCGGCGGCAGCGGCTGAGGTGGCAGTTGGTGGTGGTAGCGGCGGCGGCGGCGGCGGCAGGGACACCCAGCACCGAGCGGCCTGACGGTGAGCCCCGACCCGTAGCCACCTCTGCCCCGCTCGCCAGCAGCGGTTCATTACCTGTGAGGACCCCGACGCGGATTTGGTTTCTCCCAACCAAGCCAGTTTTTCCCGTCCTCCTGGTCTTCTACCGTTGCCGGCAGCGGCGGGTGTGCTGCCAAGGCCGAGTCAGGGACTCAGAAAGAAGCCGGGTTGGCGGCGCTCAGGCTCCCCGGGCAACGGCGGCGGCGGCGAAGACGAGGCGAGCTAAGAAGGACGAAGCCGTAGAAGCAGCCCTAGCGGCGGCGGCAGCGGCTGAGGTGGCAGTTGGTGGTGGTAGCGGCGGCGGCGGCGGC